TCGTGGTGGACGAAGTGGCACTACAACACGTTCTTCTACAAGTTCTGTCCTTCCCAACAGCTTAAAGAACAGAGAGGCAGCTAAGCGACGGGCTTGAAATTCTCTCTCTCTCTCTCTCTCTTTCAGAGAGAGAGACTAAAACAGACTAAAGAACAACAACAAATTCTTTTTGGTCTTCCATACGTTTTAGAGTGAACACGAAATCCCACCATTTTGTCCCGTCCGTGTCTGACTGCCACGTGTTAACAACAATAATCTTGGAGCACTTTCGTGCAACTTCAATCACCCTGGACAGACGGACCTAACAGAGGATAGGACCTAATGGAAGAGGAGAATTGAGGAGGCCATGGACCGAATACGGACCGGAGAGCCATAAAAGAAGAAGAAGACTTTCGTGCAACATTTGTGTTATTTGTTGCAGCAGTGTCACTGGATCATTGTTACAACAATGCTGCCTTCGTTACAATATAATAACAAATTCTACACGTGATCAACAAAACCGTTGATTACTTGAAAAAAATGGGGCAAGGGCTACCAATTGGCGGGCGGAAAAACGTACTGGACCCTGAGAGCCATCCTTGAGGCCCGCATCAGTGAATAATGTGCAAAGAATTTAAGAATTGTGACCATAGTACTGCAATTTATTCTATGCAGACAACCACATCTCTTTTAATTTACTGTTTGTGTCTAGAGTTTGTTCTGTGAAGCCGTAGTTGCCACTGAGTAGCGGATTAGAGAGTATGTCCTCCATCTGACTTGCCTCTGGTTGTGACTGTTTAACTGTGAAGAATGGATAACAGGAAAGTTGGTTACGAAACTCAGTGTGGAACTTACACTGCTCCACGTTACGTAACCTTGTGTTTTATTCGTCAACAAACTGTTGCAGTAATAAAATGTGTAAATGTTAAACAGCATTACGAAACCAAGCACAAATCATTTGTCAGGAGAGTTCAGTTGGAACCAACACCAGCAAACCAAACGTTGTGTGCCTGTGCTCAAGTTCATAACCTTAATCCAAATTTCTAGTTCCATGACAGAACAAGGCAAGTGTACAAAGGCTTATTTGCGTATTTCTCGGGTCTTCGTGAAACTAAGTTTTTTTTTCTGGCGGACGTGGCTGAAGAAGCGACTTCCCGACTTGAAGGTAAAAATGTTGTTGAAAAGGTGTGACGTGTTCCATTGTAACCTTCTTTCATCTCAAAAAGCGACTCTGGGCAGAAGACTTTACCGATGTGATTAACCCTCTCAAAGCTGCTGAATGCTATGCCTAAGCGGTTGACGAGCCATGCGAAAAGCAGATTATTAAATTTCTAACTGCAAAGTTATTTATTTCATGACGAAATACTGTTTTGTCACTAAAGGAGAAGACATTTAAGAAGTTTTTATCTATGTAAAAAATAATAGCATCTGATTCTGCTCTTGCAATGGCAGCTATCAATAAAGGTTCGGTTGTCTTAAAATGCATTATTCGAATTTTGTTACGCTACCACACCAAAGTGCCCTGTGTTGTTAATTGGACCCCAGACAGCAGGACATCATGCAGAAGGCGATAAGGGTGTTAACTTAATCTGGACAACAGGAAGTTGTAATGTGGAGGCAGCTATGAGGTACGTTTGGTTTTTATAACCGCCGACAATGACTCTGTACCTGCCTGATGTTAAACCAGGGTCCGCCAGCGGGACACGAGTATACTGGCCAGATTTTAATGTATGTGAGAAATTAGGGGGGAGTGAATAGTGACTGAAAACTTACTTTGTTCCCCACAATCATGAAATTACGGAACTGAAAATAGAACCAACGCAAGGCTTATAAGAAGAAAAAAGGAGTGCAACCAATGTTAGATATATTTACTTCTTACACGGTGAAACTGGGAGTGTTCCGAGATTCTGAAAACTTGGTTTGATCGAGGATTATGGTAGAAGAAGATTCGAATCAACAGGGCGAAAGTCGAAAGAAGTGGCAAAACGGTAGTAGCCGATGGGTCTGCCTGAGTCAAGACGACGTTAATCTGAAGAAAACGTTAATACCAAATTTCGTGCGAAATGGAGAAAGAAGAAAGTGGTATATTCTGTTGAACATACAAGTGGTATTGTCCTTACTCGCTTGCTAAACATTCTCACAGAGGATGTCACACACTATATTGGTGAGATTGTACTTAGTGGTTTATAAGAAGGGTCTGACTAAGTGTTAACTATTTCACGTAGAATCGGGAGTGCAGAACTGTTGATTTAGGAGATCTGGGAAGTTAACAAAGGATACGCACAAAATTGTGATGAAGTTCACATGGTTCAAGTCTGAAGAATTTCTATGCATAATGCACAAAGAGCGTTGAGATAAACAATGAGACAGAATAGCTTTCAGGAGAAACGACTTCGATTAGTAATGCAGTATCATAGAACATAATGAAACTATGCAATGATATTGTTAAATTAGGGACGACAGGTGTTAAATTATATATGCCAGATTACTTACAATTAAGAAAACAAGGTGGCACATTAAAATGCCTCTGATCGTACAAAATAAAACCAAAAATTTTAATAAAGATTTTAGTCAGTGCCAAACGTGGCTGTCATAGTCCAACATTGTTAGGTACCTACATTTCATAACAGCTGGCAACGAAATGTCAGAAAATCCTGAATTAAATGTTTCCTTAATGCGCCGAGCACTCACCTCCAAACCGCTTCCTATATCTTCCGTTCAAGTGGAAATATGTGTTATTTAAAGCCAAGTTTTTTGGCGCCCAGCCTGGAATTCTACTTGGCGACATACGATGCCTCATCCATATTCATACGTTGTTGAAAGTCACCTCAACCACCACAGAGACAAGATTTTCAAGCCTACATGCTAAAACACCGGAAACAAAATGTAATCCCATCGCTCATTTCAGGAAACGCGCTTTTTATTAAATCTGTAATACGACAGATCCATTATCGCCAATGATATACGCAGAAATCCTTCGAAAAAATGCGGTAATACACCTGTGTGGATGTTTCTTGTGAATTCTGCGCCACGAGTTCCACATTTGCTTGAGAATAAACAGCAATTACAACAGAAAAGGTACACACAAAAGACAATAATATCAGAAACGGAAGAGTGTCCTTAAGGATCTACCCCACAAACCATCAATTCATAGACCACGAACCTAGATAATCGCGCCTTTGTCTACCACAGGTTGTCAGGTACCCGACTCGCTTTAAAAGCTTGCAAATAAGGCTAAATGTAACGTAAGAAATTATTTCAAAGTTCATCATTCACGGCAAGAATACAGCCTTAGACACTTTTTGCGCCATTTATAGATACGTTCTGGAACGATAAGAAGGCAAGGTGTTTAGCGACTGCAAGTAATGATATTCAACCATCCATCCAGCCACTCCTTCATCCTCTCATGCTTCTTTGCTTGTAAAATTATTATAATAACATATTTTAGAAAAAAAGAAAGGAACAAATGTAATGTGAAGATTTCTGTCTTCAGGGTTATTGCGCTGTGTAGTCTGGTCGATGTTAACCAACGTTTCGGAGGTCATACTGAATCCGTCATCAGGGCGATCGAAACGTTGGTAAACATCAACCATACTACACGGCGCAACAACCCAGAAGACAGAAATCTTCATACTCACCGCTGTGAAAACCTCAAATCATACAAATGTAATGTTAACTGAAGTGAGTCTGACTGACCAGAGATTGAATAGTCATGAATTTCAGTGATTCCCAACCGTGTGCCTGATTCACCCTATGGGGACCAGCATCACTTTTAACTTTGACAGACAATGCGGCGTCAACACAACTGGTGTCCAAAACATGGGCGTGACCGACATAAATCAAGTGCCAATTTTTAAAGTTTTCTGTGCACGATTGATATGACAACTTAAAAAACTTGAAATTATAAACAACTGTAGGATGTGCTACAAACTCTCATCTCAAAGTCATAAGCACAAGGAAAATGACAGCTCGGTTACCAAACGTTTCAAACTGAAAATATCTCAAGGCAACGTGGTCGAACTGGCAGCCCGCGGACCACGTCCGGCCCGACACCTCTTGTAACCAAGCCCATGAAATTAACTGTTAATTTGTTACAAGGAAATACAAGATCGTTTGTTTCCTTGCTCTGAATGTTTTGTAAGAAGTGATTTTTATCTCGTCTGCTGCTTTACACGCCACGCTTGCTATTGGTTCTAGCTTAAAACGTATGCTTAGCAACAAAAACTGTGTCTGGTGCTAGATGCTGCAGGAGCAAATTTAAAATCAGATGTGACACTTTAGTAATTTATGCACATTTCAACAAAGTTTATACTTGAGCATCTTAGTCTAATGTGGTTATGTTATTTCTGATGATGGAGGCAGCAAGGGCCTCTGAAACGTCGGTAAACTTCTACCAGACTGCACAGCGCAACAACCCAAAAGACAGCCATCTTGTAATGTAGGCTTAGAAAAATGCATAAATGCCAGTAATCCTTTAATTAATTATTAAACGACGATATAAGAACATCTTAAATTAATTTGGCGTTGTAGGATCGGCACAAAGATGTCGGAAGCAAAATTTGTAAGGTGTTATCAAGAAATATTTCTGGGAGGGGGCAGCTACGAAAACTCCAGAGAAAATCAAGCTCGTGGGATTTGTTTCCGGAGCCCGACAGTGTCACGAACACATGAGCGCAACAACCAATAACTTTTTCTTTACGAAAAAAAAAATGGCCGGAGAACGCCGGAAATATACTGTGTGACGTTTGACTTATATCATTCGAACCAGGCCTCAACTTAACATTATGTTCCACCAGGCCTAGGCCAGTGAAGATTTCTTTCGGCCGCAACTTGCCGCATGTCTGCAAGAGGAGAGGAGGGGAATAATTTTTAGGATTATTTGAGTGTGACTATACAGACCTACAATGCGAACCGTACGCTATAAGAACAGTGGAATACGGAAAACAGGTTCGGCACTGTAACTATCAGCGAAGGTCGGTCTTATTTTGCAAAATTCGTGGCCATATCCGGGCGGCACTTACTTGTCATATCTGCTGAACACGTGGCTCGGGCTCCTGGGAATGGGGCCAGTAGCAGCGGAGGTCTGCGTCGTCTCGGGGAATACCAACCCCGCCTGCAGGAGCTCTCCTTGTGGAGTCGTGGGCGCGGACTTCGCAAGCAAATTGCTCGACGACCTGCGCACAATGCAAACATACGATGAGTTCTAGGAAGAACCCACTGACGCCTTTCATTCAAATGCTTCATTCAGTTTGGGGAACAATGCATAAGCATTTCCAGTGGTTCACTTCCGTATAATTTCCTATAGTAGTCCCACAGATACCAACTTCGAAGTGCCAGATCGCTGTCTTGTTACCAAGTGTTCATATACAAACAACAGTTCATGTCCTACAGTCCCAAAATGATCCATCTCAATGCAGAATGCAGTGCGCAATACCGCTTCCACCGCCAAAGCCCGCCACGTCCGTGAAGATGGCATTATTTATAGTTGGTAATTTAAAAAGGCAAAGGTGGGGGGGGGGTGTTTCAGTTAAAAAGGCGCTGACTCAACTTCTCGTTACGATCGTCTGGATTTTTTCAGAAATTATAAATGAAGACAGTTGGGTAAACAGTGACCCTCTATATGATCTGAAGTTTTCGAGGCGACGTAACTCAGTAAAAACTTCCCGGGCGATCAGCCGCGTCAAATGGTTGAAAGACGAAGCCGACGTTTCTGGGACCATCTCTGTCCCCATCATCAGGGTTATGAACCCTGAAACGACGGGTTCGTTGTTTTTTCCCCTCTCTTTTCCTATTTGACGCGGCTGATCGCCCGAGAAGAATTTACTGAGTGACCCTCTAGTTCTCTGACTGGACTTCATTAATTTATTGCAGACAGAAGTGGCCTGCAGAGAGTAAAACAATCATTACCGACGAAGATTATCTAAGGCAGAGGTGTTTGCAGGACAGAGGAATAAAATATGGTTTCCTTGCTTTGGGTTATGTATACGTCTTATCGATTAATACAAGTACGAGTTATGGGCATTCAGGGCAACTACATTTTCTTAAGATAAGCCTTTCTTTAAGAGAAATTATATTAAGTTATATCTGAGCTTCATGCCGTGCTGTAAATGTAGATATCCATAGGCACAGGCCTAGGCGAATTACTGAAATATCTGCATTTCGTTCTCTGTTACGTTGCCGATGAAGGAAACGTCCGTAACATTGAGGTTGCGTGGGAATACGTCAAATAAGCAATCTTGTACAGACAGGAGGTGGTATTGCAGGGTCCTGGGTCGCTGCTAACTCCTCACCGTTAAAGTCGTCTTGTTAAGAAATGTTTCAGACCTTAATGGATTCTACGACAGGGCAAAATGAACGAAAATGGTCGCGAGATTTTCAACTTCCAATATATTAAAGATACACGGTGGAAGGTTGTAGACTGAATTCATCTGACAGAGGATACGAACCAGCAACTGGTTCTTGCAGACACGGCATTGAATCTTTTAGTTCAGTAAAAGATAATTTCTCAACTAGTGACTATTAGCTTCTCCACGGAGATAATTACTTACTCAGTTAACTATCGGAATTGTATAGTCTGTTATCCGGCATTAGATTCGAAGTTTGAATAAGATTCAGAGGCACAGAAGTGCTTAACAAACCTCAACCTGTCCATTAACATGTACATTACTCACTGCCTGTATATATCGCACAAAATAATACAGAACAGCAATGAAACCACGCAGAAATCTAAAAGTTAACCATTTAAAAAATCCGTAGTAACTGAATGTACCACTTGCTTTAACATTCAGAACATCTGCACTTTGCGAACAGAGTAAATTTAGGGCTTTATTATGATTTGCAGAATGAATACCAACTATTAACCAACGTATTTACGTAATGAAAATACGTAATGTTCTCTTTAAGGTACGAATGAACATTTAAACATTATTAAGCGTTATTCGAAAAATGCGAATGAAATTAATGCATATAGAAATGACCGTCTCTGTCTGTCTCTCCACATTGTTCATCTGAATGTTCGGATTTTGATAAAATTTTGTATGGACACTGTGCCGTTTGAGGCTAAACTCATGCATTTTATTTTCCTACATAGCGGACAAACGAACTTTTGAGAACGGAGTGATACTAGCGCCACTCGATGTAGGGTACAGTGTGGTGAACGGAAACGAATCTTAAACATACAACTTTAGTACAGGAATTATTTGTACAATGCGAAACAAAAGGGCGGGTGTACGAATCAATAAAAAAAATCGTCTCGAACAGGATTCGGTGCTACACGGTACCATACAGCACAACCAGCCCGTATTGTTACACTAATATGGATTCGAATAATGCACAGTCAATTAACCACTTGTTGAGAATACACAATGATTCACTGACGTAGCCACTAAGTTATCAGTTTGTATGGCATTACGTTTACGAATACACTGGCTGCGTAACGATTTAATTTTTCATGAGGTTGGTAACTACGCACAACGAACAACAACGAAACTCAATATCGATTCTCAATTTAACCTCCCTTGGAAACACTCCATGGGTATATGCATATTATGCGTACATACACATAAACTAACATTTTCCTCTGTTCATTTCGTTGAAAATCAACTAAGTAACATGGAGGATATTACTGTTTTTTAACAAATAAAAGAACTGGTTCTGTTCATAACATGTATGCAAACACAAACAAGAAGCACGCTTAAATATAATGAGGACCACCGGAAAGGGGACAAGAAAATCATTTAAAGGCGTGACTTGGAAGGAAAACACTGTTTCTATGGCAACCATGGCCGGGTACTTTCCCGTTTCAAAATAGAGTGAGTCCGACTTGGGGGGCGGGGTTTTTTTGTCAGTAGAACTCAGGCCTAAAACTACAACTAATGCAAACTACGACCTCGACGAAATTTATTCAAAAGCACGATCACCAATAAACCTGTAGCAACTGGAGTCTGTTATCGTCCTTGCTGTTTGGTTTCTGCTGGATTTGGCAGTTGGCACTCATACGTTACAGCCACATCCCGAAACCGGTCACCGTGGCAAATAACGGTTGTTCAAAAGTTTGTCTTAAAAACGACATGATCGCAACTTGGTCGGTCATTTAGGGAACTGCCGAAACTGAATGTTCTTAAATAGAGTCCGCGTCCACTCTCCAATCCCCCACTAATAGCATACTTGTTATTCTGTGAATGAAACAGCCTTTGCCATCAGAATAACAGCCCAAGAATGAAAATCATCCAATTATGACGGTGGAGCCCTACTTTCGGATCTACCCATGCTGCTCAAGCAAATCGTATTTCACCGGGTCAAATGTATACACGCCTAAGTGTTTCTTCTTTGAATAGCTTTCAGATCTGTTAGAAACACGCAAGTATTCAAGATGCGATAGGTTCGGCACCAAGCATAGGAAAAATACGATACGCAAACATGTCAGAGAAGAGATCACTTGCAGGATGTAAGGGTACAATGGACGATAATATTAAAACAGATCTTACGAACAGGGTCTGAGCATCGGGATCAGGACAGAGACCCGCAGCAGATTCATATTACGAAAAGGGTAAATAAACCTCCTGGTTTCATAACAGGAGAATAATTTTGTGACACGTGGCAACTATTAGTTTCTCATGAAGTCCCAGAACGTGACACTGCTATGTTTTGCCTTAAACAGTGTATTATAGTTAATGTTACAAACACATAAGAAAATAAGTACGAGCTTTAATATACAGGTTTATTGTTCTTGCCCAATGGACGCACTGCTTGCGTCAATAAGTACACCTAAATGAATACCAATGGCCAAGGTCGAACACACAACCAACTTAAGGACATGCTGTATCGGACGCATGGGCCATACACGGCCCACGAAGATGGGACACCAGACCGAACAGATTTAAACATTAATTTTAAACGTATTTGATGTCGAAGATTTCTGTCTTCTGGGTTGTTGCGCTATGTAGTCTGATAGATGTTTACCGACGATGAATCGCCCTGATGACGGAGGCAGTATGACCTCTGAAACGTTGGTTAACATCGACCAGACTACACAGCGCAACAACCCAGAAGACAGAAATATTCAGACTCACCGCCCTGATGACGGAGGCAGTATGACCTCTGAAACGTTGGTTAACATCGACCAGACTACACAGCGCAACAACCCAGAAGACAGAAATATTCAGACTCACCGCTGTGAAAACCTCAAATCTTACGTATTTGATGTCTTCTGGTGTTAGCTTTTTAATTAAGCATGCGTATGTAGTAAAACGTAACCTTTTAAAATGCCGGTAAGATAATAGATCATCGATAATAACACAGTAATGAACATTTGAGTTCCATAAAATACGGGAATTTTCTTGACCAGCTCAGCCACTATTAACTTCTTACGAAGGAATCTGTTCGATGTAGTTATTGGATTATCATGTTTATTTAATGACCAGCCAGTTGCAACGTTCTTTATTTACTCATCCTACAACATTGCCCAATGAAAAGCATCCATTATGTAGCTTCTTCCGTCCCACTCCACTTCAAAATATTATCAAAACTTTCTTCTTAGACATTTTCACTTCACACGAAATAAGAAAGCAGGCTTCATATTAAATAAAAATAAGTAAAAAATACAGTTATCTTTGTCACTGGAAACCTGTGAGAACGAAGAACAAAAAAGCGGATTCCGAACTGAATGAGACATGAGTTTTCCAGAGGCTCTCTGCCTCACTCTGCACAACCTTGGGTTGGGTGGCCGAAACGTGAGTGTGGGAGACGACGTATAAACTTAAGCTTCATTACAATTCAACGTAAGCAGCAATCACACTAACGCCACCTTCCCGTTGGAAGACAACACGTGTCTAAATGAAGCAACATTAAACTAGAAAACGCAGAGAAAAAAGAAACCGTAACATTCGCTGTCAACTAGTAAGAAATTTTTCTCCTTTTACTCACATCCACAGAGAACAGAACATTACCGTATCAGGAAATATGCACAATATAGCTATAATAATGTGACTGACAACACGACCAACCCCCAAACGGTTTCTCCCATTTCTCATGCCCTTCACTACACTTCGTGTGATGCACTGCCTGACAAAATGATCTGAAACAGGAAGACGCTTTTCAACTTGCATTTGGGGAATCAGGAGGGGCAGGAATTGAACGAAAAGCAACAGCTAATGTACTTAACAGCCAGCTACAA